GGCTCATGTGTCAGAATCTCATTTATGTTTAATGAGCCCCAGATTTGCGTTTTATAAATCTCAGGTTGACACAGAAGAAAAGCTTTTTACCAACAATGAGGTCTTGATCAATGTAACCTGTTCACAGACGGCATTTTATGATGCATTTTCAGTCCTTATGGAGACTCGTTAACATATGATTTATATTGCATATATTCGGGGATGTGATTGCATTTAGTTTTATGATAGTTTGGACAATTTTAGCTCTTGTAAAATACTCTATAGATAACATTAACATTGGTATTTCTATATGTGATGAAATGATAAGAAAACTGTGTCTGCCTTCAGTAATCTCTCGCTACCATTGAACCTATAAAATGGTTGATTTTTATTACCTGTCTTTTATCAGGATAGATTATGTTTCTTCAAACATTTTGAGCCTGCAGCCTTGTAATGGGGATAACTATAAAGATAATGATCCCCATTAAAATCCTTTCACCAATAGTAGGGTTACAAAAGACATAAAAAAACATTTCTAATGTCTCTTCAGTAAGCGTTGTCAGAATAAAATCTTTGGTACATTATAATTATCTACAATAAAGTATTGGGATTTAACAAAATATTTGAATAAGGTCAGAAATGATACCTGAGTCTCTTTTGCAAAGTATCCAATTGTTGACATTTATTCTGTACTTATAATCATTGCAACATGACCTTTATTCATTGTTAAAATGTAGCATTGAAAGGGAGCAAAAGCGAAGACTTAATGTTTCAGAATTGTTACCAATGATAGTTCCTTATCCTTTTTCTGCCCTCCCCTAGTTTCATTATCATTTGTTGACCTGACTTTTTTTTAGGGAATAATTCTGCTTTCACTCCTCCTGAAGGCTTTTTGCTGGAGTACAGTTCCATGACCTCAGTCCATTGTCCCAATGTTTATGTGTTAGCACAGACAATGATGGTCAGTGAACCATTTGACCAGTGAGATGGGGGGCAGATCTAGCACAGTCACAGTCAAGCCTTTTTAACATAGGTCATTTGATCATGAAGAGGAGTGGGAACTATGACTAATTTTTCCTTCTCTGGGCCAGCAGCACTGAAGCCAATTGTAGCACCACTGTCATGATTCTTGTTGTCAACTAAGTCAGCACAGAACATAATAGAACCTGAAACTTTCCAGTATCTTGTATTGCTCAGGTTTGCACTAGGAGTTGCTTTTATCAACTGAATCATTGGGTGAAGCTTCATGTACACTTTAGTTTGATGCCAGGTAATACTGAGAGATTAGCTTGGTGTTTTGGAATTGGTCTGGTTGTGCATACCTTGGGACAGATGTCTTCAACTCACTCATTGCCTACCTTTATTTTTTTTTAAATGATTCACTTGCTATGTGTCTTAAGATGTGGGTAAAAACAATGAGACCATGATTTATTGGAGAGGGATCTGGGGAAAGCAACATTATGGCTCACATAACAGCTTTCTGAGTAAACGGAGGTCAGGTGAGGATCTTATGGTCAGGTGCAGGTATTGATATCTCATATCATGACATTTTGAACATCTGCTATCAACTTACACAAGTCTGACTCCGCAATTGGTAGACTTGTTCCAGTACATAAACATAACTGCAAATAGATGAACTTAGTTGCACACAAGTGGGCAGCTTACATACAGGCACGTGGATGTGATGAATGAAACAAAATTCATGTGCCTGGTTGTATGCAGTGGGGCTCAGAGCATTGGAGGAAACTGGAAACCAAGCACATGGTTATTTAATGTGCCTCACTCTGACCAGTCATAAATATAAAAACAGAACTGCGGCCGATTAAAAGCAGCTGAAAGCACTACATTTAAATATGTAACATCTTGTATATAATAACTGACTGATAAATAGTTAGTCTTAAAATGTGCAGAGTTATAACTGTGGGCTGAAGTTAATTATTTATTCATACTTAATTTAACTTTTTTTGAAACCAAATGTTTTTTAATTTTAGCTGTCAGTGGTGAAAGCTCATGGACCAGAGGACTGGGCACTGGGAAACATTTGAATGAAGATTGTATCAGGTGGGAAATGTAATAAACCCATCATTATACTCAAGGCAATGGTGACCCATTTTCATAGGTTATAGAGATTATTATTCTATTGTAAAGTTGTTTGCATAATGGATACTACTTATGGAGTACCTGCTTTTTAAAAAATTATGTTTTCATTTTAAATAAACACCAAAGCTCATTTTTGACAGAGCATTTCAACTCCAGGCTGAGTCTAGTACTTTTGTAAAAATATTCCTGAAGGCTGTGTTTTGTTGTCATTAAGATCTCAGTGAAGATTCAGACATGGATTTGGAATGCTCTAGAATAACTATGCAATTCACATTAACTTGGGTATGAATTCTGTTATACACTTCCTCAAAGCAAATGTACAACCAGAAGTTGTATCCAGTTCATTTTTCGACCACTGGTTGGTGCAGTAGTTTAGCAAATGCGTTTTCATTTCTGGTACCTGGATTAGAATGCAGCCTAGACAAAACACAGAATTACTCCTAATTTATAATAACACTCGTATTTTATATAGTGCCTCACTATACCTCGTTGAATATTTCAAAGTCCTTTGCAGTATTTAATGTAAAGTGTAATGACTAAACCAATATGCCCTCTTCTCAATTTGTACACAGCAATCAATGTCCCACAAACAACCATGAAGAGAATGACTATTGTTTTTTTCTCTCTCTCTGGGATAATGTTGGCTTGTACCCATCTCTTCAAATAGGACCATGAAACATTTAACCAAAAATATTGGAAATATATTCAGTATATCAATCAGATTCTGAGAGACAAATATTCAGCCTTGGATTCTGCCAACTCAGGTTTAATTACAACCATTTAACTTTACAGCCATTTTCAATACAATGTAAATCTGAGACTCAACAAATTTAGTTCCTAATCTGTTATCAGTAGTTATGAAAGACTTTTATCAGATATCAAAGTTTAATTAGCTGCAGAATAGAAAGAACATTGGGTAGTTGCTTTCTCACATAATCTTATGTTCTAAAGTCAATCAATCTGCCTAATTTACTGCCATGTGTTGAAATAATGCAAATCTGTTCAATGACATACATCAGTGTGTTTTTCAAACTTCAGGCAGCAGAGAGGATTTTCTGAGAAGCTGAATACTGGATTAAAAAATTTGACTGACTCCACAGTATTCGGGAAATTGGACAAAGATAACGAAACAAGTCGTTTATCTTCAACTCAAGTCCACCGTCCACTGCCACAACCTCCAGTGAAAGAGTATCATCATTCGACTGAACCAGGACCATCTTTACCCAACACAGTCTTAGTTGAACAGTTGCCTTGCACTTCTCATGATTGCTTGCGCACGAAGGAAACTCCAATATCTTTCGGACTTGGTAATTGGAGTCAGGTTCCCAATGCTTTAAGCATCAATTTTCCTGACGTGCCCACAACTAAGCTGACATTGAACCCGGAACAGGACAAGAAGAGAACTAAGTTTACTGAGGAAAAAGAATCTGAACTACACCTATATGTGCTTTCCATGTCCTCTCCGTTATATCTGCTTTTAAAGAGCTCCTGGAATAATTATATGATTGTAAGTATCTCCGGTGCCCTCTTTTATTCAGTTGCACCTCTTTATCTGTATTTTTATGTTTAGTTTGATTTTCTGTTGTCCGCAGCAATCAACATTAATGCAAGATCCAGATTACACAAGAAGATTAAGTCTATCATCCTCTCCTGGTCGGAGTCAGAAAATGCACAGGTAGATTCAATGGGGAGAACAAACCCCCCAAAACATTTGTGGAGAGAACGGAGAACTCCTTTATCAATGCATTTTATATGTATTTTTGTATTATATATAATATGGTACTTTCTACTCAGTTGCAAATTTAGATTTCTATTGATTTTCTTTAATTTTAGATAAATAAAAATTGTAACCTCGCTCTTTAGTTAAAATGATCACAATGCAGATGTTGAAAGCTTTGTATAAAAGTGATCACGAACCTTGTCTTTCTTGTGCCAGTTTAGAGGAGACCTTCAATCAGCTGAGCTCTGAGCTACTCCGTGGTCATAGTACATTGAAGCAGATATCCTTAATACAACAGGAGCTGCAAACGATAGCGTGCAGGAACTACACCATAAAAAAACTCTTCTGGAAAGTATGCTCTTTCTTTCATGAACTGTCCTCAAGCATCATTGGATATAGGATACCTTTTAATAAAATGTGAATTATGCATACAAACTATAATAAATTGCAATAGCAACAACTTGTATTTACATAGCGGGGTAGCATGTCAGAGCACTTAACAGTGGTGGAGTTTGACGCCTAGCCATGGATAGGGGCAACATGACCATAGGCACACAGGAAAAAAACATAGAAACAGGAGTGGGCCATCAGCCCCTCGAGCCGGTTCCACCATTCAGTAAGATCATGACTGATCTGTACCTTAACTCCAATTACACGCTCTTGCCTCATATCCCTTACCTAACAGAAATATATCCACCTCAGCCTTAAATTTGAATGAAGTGGCAGTGTTTACACTCCACATGAGCCTCCAGACACCCTGATCCCCTCTCCCATATCCTATGTTCCTTTCTTCATCATGTATGCTTTATGTCTTCTTAAATATATTGTTATTTCTGCTTCAACCATGGCTTTCAGCAATGAGTTCCACATTCTCATTACCCTGTGCATAAATAAGTTCCTCCTAAACTTCCTTTTAGATGTGCTTTTGGCCCCCTTATTCTGGATGACTAACTAGCCTTATATGTCCACCTTTTTGGAACCTTTCATAACTGTAAACTCCTTTTAATATGTCTACTCTCAATTGCCTCATCTCCAGTGAGAGAAGCACTAACCTACAGGCTACTGCAGGTGGAAATTTGTGTATTTGAAGTAATTTGGGGTTATTTTACATCTGTCCTAAAAAGATAGACAAAGAAGATCTGCAAGATTGTATTTATTAGACAATGGATAAATTCTGAAATATTTGTCATTTTACTCTGCTTTGTTTTCATTTTGGAATTTTCTCTAAAGTACTTTTTGTTCTGTTTCTAACCTGTCTGCAGTCACTCGAATTGTATCCCTTTCTCGTCAGAAAGCTTCAGGAGTACTTGCCAAAGTCACAGAACATTGCTGCGCAGCACAACAAAAACCTCAGAGTAGATGAACTACGGTAATAATGTGTTTCCATGCAATTGCTGCTTTATACAGTAGAACCTCACTAATCCGGTCACTCGAGTGACTGGGCAAAAGTGACCTACCTGACTACTGAAACAGGTCAGATGATTCAGGTCACTGATGTAATGTTAAGGGCATTGGTAATGGGCAAGGGTGATGAACATTCAACAACCATACTTTGCAATTTCATTAAAATAAAGGCATTGTCACATTTAAAACCAGATCTTAGGTTTCATTATTTAAAGCTTATATTAGAAGTTAAAATCACACAAAATGTTCATTACTTGAAGAAAGTGTCCAGCACTGTTTTCCTGGCTGCTGATTTAACCTGCACTGCCTTGGCCAGCAGCTGACCCTCAGCATGAGCCAAAGTCTGCCACGTGTCAAGTCCATGATCAAGGCAAAAGTCCTTCACTTATCCCAACAAACCCAGTGCATCAGCGCAAGTCAGAGCACTCAGATGCTGCCCGGAGTGGAGGGCACAATATAAATGAACATTGTTGTTGAAAGGGTCTTTGATGTTGTTGCTTGCTCTTCCTGTTCCTGAGTCTTGATGTTCAAATTCCTAAAGGCAGCACTTCCCTGTCACAACTCTCTGTTCAAAATCTCCCTCCATGTTGACTGTCAAAAGACACGGTTGTGCGGTCTTTGGATTTCTTCACACCAGTGCAGCCATCACCATGAACTGGAAGGCTCCTGTCAGGGAGAGCCCTGAAAACAACAGCCGTATTAAAGATGTCCTTGTGTGCATAGCCAGCTGTATTCTCAAGGAGTTTCTCTTTCAAGTTGTCAACAATAGCAGGTTCAACATCATCCTTTTCCCCAGACATGATTGCAGACCCAATGTTGTGTCTGGCCTTGAAACAGCTAAACCAGCTATTTAATGCCTTGAAGCCAGTTTTGCCAAGTGATGATGGAAGGCTGAGTGCTTTCTCCTGTATGATGGTGCCAGACACAGGCATGTTGAGACCAGGGTCATGCTGGAACCACTCGCATGTCAGGTTATCAATGCCCTCATACTGAGAGTTCAAAGGGACACGTTCTCTATCAGGCTGTTGATTTTCTTCAAAAGCTGCCTTCCTTTTGCGAATGCATCCAACTTGTGTTCTGCCAATGCCATAGATCACAGCTAAGCAAAAAGGGTCCAGTAGAGCCAGGCGAGAATGGTGGTCACACAGCCTGGGGTGGGAGAGGATACAGGCAACAGCTTTTGGATGATCTGGAGATTGTGGAGGTTTTCGATTTGGAATTTCTGAGTACTCCCTTCCCCCCCCCCATTTGCTAGTAGATGCAGCAGCCTCCTTCCTCTTCCTCTCAGGATCCAACCCATGCAGTACAGATGGGAAACTGGGCAAATTTGTCAATTAAACCTGTGGTCTTACTCCTTGTGTTATTGAGCCTCAGTGATTGTGAAATTCTCAATGTCACCTCATGCACTATTTGTTCAACCGATGTTCCAGAATACAGATTACAAATATGTAACTACTCCTGTTTTCTCCCTTTATGTGCTTAGGTTATGTGTTTTAATCGTACAGACATTAGGAGTAATGTTGAGGGAAACAGACACTGAGCCAACCCGCCAGGCTGCTCTGAATTTTAAACGGTATGTGTGCCCAAAATGATTTAAATAATTGTAGACATTGTACAGTAATCTCTCCTGTTTTCTTTTGAATGTCATAAAGTCAAGCTTATTGCTGAAATGTAGCTTCCACTTGTGTGAACTTGAGAACAACTCTGAACTTGGAAAGCTTTAATTTTCTGTGAAATTAGATTAACACATCAAGGAATTAGATGATGTCCAGCGTTAGCAGCTGGATAACAATTGGAAATTGGACATTGTATACTTTTTGTGCAACATGATACCCATTGTACTTTTATTATTTTTGCAATTTTTTTAAAAAAATTGAGTTAATAAAGCAACTCAAAATGCTTCACAGAGTATACTCTGAAGAAAATTGACTGTATATTTTGTTGGAGAAACGCGTCAGCCAATTGCACACAGCAGGCAGTTGGCATTTCTCAAACTGGCACTGCAATATCAGAAACAGCACAGCATTCAACAGCACCACACGCTGGCTGAATGGCTGCATCGAGTAGCTTTGATACTTGAAAGAAGTCACGAGGGTAGGGGTGTGGGCGCATTGAATATCCCACAATGTGATCATCATAACTGATAATTATCACATCATCACCCCCCCAAAGACTTGATAGCATGAACACTTCTGACATCTTATGTAGTCACTGTAATTCAATATTCTATACAGATTTGATTTTAAGATGCCTGGCTTCTTTGTCCCCATTTGTTAGGGGTAAATCGACCAGTGACTTGCTCGTAGTTTTATTAAGTGAACCTCTTATCCCAAAATCATCTTGGTTATCTGGCACCAAAGCCCCAGTTCCTTCTGCTGGTTCAGACAAGTCTGAAGACGTAGAGGTGAGCATCTAAAGTGTGTAAATGTACACCTTTTAATTCCCTTCCCGCTAACTATTTTAAATTGAATTAATTGGTGCTTGCGTCTTTATCTAGTTTACTAATCAGTTCACATATGAAATCAATGAAATGAACAGTTGTATGGACACGACAATTGGAATTGTTTGATAGACAATGAACATGTATTTGAGTTCACATTTGTTTTTTACATACCATCTCACAATCTACTCTTTGACCGTGCTTTTTAGATACCTCTTTGACTGCACTATCGGTCATCTTTCTCCTCCCCACAATCCCTATTTCTGTCCCCAGCTTGGGTACCAAACTATTATTATTAAGCATGTTGGGGCATCCTCCATGAAAGGTACTATATACATTTTTATTATATTATTTGTAGTAGTTAGCAGAATTTAACTGCGCTTTGTGGTTTATTTGCCTCATCAGTTACAGAAAGTATTGACGGGCTACAATGATGCAGCAACAGCAGTACTGTTTGAGATAATCCTCACTGCACATCAGGTGAGTATAATGTGTTTGAGCGCTCTGAGACGCTACCTGTGTGGAAGGCACTAAGTGCAAGTTATTGTTGTTTAATATTAAGAAGAAAGCAGGAAAGGTACTGAAGAAAGCAGATGACCTACTCATATGATTTCTGCAAACACTGCTCTTTAAACTTGCTGAAATACTAGTAGGTTGAATCACACGAGTAGCGAAGGGTAACTTGTTCTGTTTTTCTTAGATTTGCCACCTTTTCAATCTTTTTCCTCTTATCCTTCACTCCTGAAGTTAATGACTTGTGATCCTCAGACTTGTGTTCCTCAGGTGATAATGATCGTTGCATTTGGTATAGCATTTGGTGGAGTCCTGTAGCTCTGTGGTTAGAACACTCACCTCGCAAGTAAGAGACCTGGGTTCGATTCCCAGCCGGGCAAAGTGGTGGGCAAGTTTCTTTACTCCACATGCCTCTCTTAACCTAGCAGTAAATAGGAACCCGGGTGTTAGTAGATTGGCGGATCGCTTTTCTGGGGGTAATAATTTCTTCAAAAAAAATATTGGTGACTTCAATCCACAACTGTTTATGGGACACTGCTGTGGACAATTGACTGCTAAGTTTCACCCACAAAATATACCATCAATTCAATTCAGTAAATCCACTTTACGATATGTTCTGGAAAGCGCTTTGAGACGCGTCAAAGACGTGATAAGGTGCTATATCAAATGCAAGGATTATTATTATTACAGCACTTTATCATGTAGGAAATACATTTCAAAGCACTTCACAGGATTTACTGTGAAACGGATTGACTGTATTTGTGGGCAAAAGCGGCATCACAATTTGCGAACAGCAATCAAACAGCCACGAAACAAACTGTACGGAGTCACTGTTTAGACTGACAATCAAATACAGTGCTGGGGAAGTGTTGCATTGTCTTCAGGTGAAATGTTAAACTGAAGTCCTGTCTAGCTGGAAGATGTTAAAGATCCCATGGCACTTTTCAAAAAGCAATAATTGGTCGTTCCCATCATGGCTGTTTGCGGAGTATTGATTTGCATAAATTGGCTTCACCATTCACCTATAAATTTTTTATATTAATATAATAAATTTCATATTTTAATATAATATGAATGCTTGCAAATACCGATTCAGCTGTTCTATATTCCCAGCATCTTCTCATTTATAATCATGGAGTCCTGTAGCTCAGTGGTTAGTGTACTCTCCTTGCAAGCGAGACACCTGGGTTCAGTTCCTGGCAGGGCTAAACCTTGGTCAAGTTTCCTTACTTCACACGCCTAATAATAATCCCTCCAAAACAAAACAATAATAAATTGGTCATTTTCAATCCACGACTGTTTGTGCTGTGCGCAATTGGCTGCCGCGTTTTGCCCACAAGTGTACAGTCAATTCACTTTACAGTATATTCTGTGAAGCGCTTTGAGACATCTAGAAGACGTGAAAAGCGCTATATCAAATGCAAGGATTATTATTATTAAAATACACTTTACTGTAAGTTTTGTCAATAGCTTTTGAGATGTTTTGACAACGTAATAAGGTGCTAATTCAAATACAAAGATTGTTAGATTATTATTACTCAGTTTATATTTTTCTGGCTTCAAGCCCGATTCATCCTCTGAAACAGAACCATTTCCAAATATGCTGCTTAGCTCCTTGCCTTATGCTGGAAGGGGGAGAAACCAGAACACTGGGTTGTCATGGAAACCCTAACCACAGAACTTGTTGTCAAGGGAAATGCAATAAAACTTGCAATCCTGTATAGTGTTTTATCTCTTTGGCCCTGGTTATCTGGAAAGAAACCGAGTGAGGAGCTTTAAATAGAAGAATAGAACAGTCCCATAACAGATACAATCTGCTGAAATATGCATAGTACTGACTCATTAATGCACTCATCATAGCTGCATGATAGACGGATTTGGCACAAGACCAGGACGAGATTGGAGTTCTTACTCAGGGAATATCACATAGTGTAGTGGGGCCTAAGCAAGGGGTGGGAAATGGCAAGCAAAAATGGAAGATATACATGTTTTGATTGTAAACGTATCCACAATTGGCAGCAGACCAGTTTTATTACATCTATTTTTCTGTATTTAAGAACAGTGTCATCAGCTGTTCAATGGTAACTCGTACTTTGTAGTGAACTAAAAGAACATTTCAATGGAGTTTCCGATTTTATTTATTCTAAGAATTCTAATGCAGTACAGAACGGTGACTTGCTGCACACATGGTTAAAATCAATCTAGCAATTTTTTTTAAAGAATCTCCCATTAATTTTCTCCTGTCTTGTGAAGATGCTGACATATCTATGTTGGTGTACAGTTCTATGGGAGCTGGTTGCCTTCCACTACCTCATCCAAATATCTGCGTGAACCTAGACTGAGGGAAATCACAGCCAATTCATAATCCTGGCCTCTTCCATCATCTACACACAATTATTTTCCATTAGGACCCATTTGATCTGAATCAGAAGCAGGGATCCTGGCTGATTTCCCTCCGCACCCACCCCATCCACTCTCTCTTCCTAGCCCACACACACTCTCTTCCTAGCCCAAATACACAGTGGGCAGTTGTAGTACCCAATTGTTACGCCTTCAGACGAACAGCACAAACTGGCAAATGAACATGACCGCCTGGTCTGTATGGGTTTATGCTGTTGGGTGGTCTTTGCGCACTGGCCATCTGGCGAAGCTTTGTTATAAATTGTAACGATGTTTGGCCCACACTTGACTATCTAATTTGTTCCAACTCTTATGATACATGGCTAAATTCAATCTTTCGTGGCTCTGATTTTTACAAATTATTATCCTAAATAAATGTAAATGTTCATGTGGGTGTGAATCAGGTTTAGTCTGAATAGACTGATTTTGATATATTTCAACAAAAATGTTCTTTGCTTTTTTCCCCCACATCTTCTGAAGGCTCAGATTCATGCCTTACCCAAGTGGCCATTCTTCATGTGTGATACAATCAATGACTGTCAGACGACTGCTTGGCTGTGGGGGCATCATAACTGAGCCCAAGCCTGTCTTCAACAGATACACACAGTCATGCAGGTTCTAGTAAATGTGTCACTAAATAGTGATCAGCATCAGGATTCCTGGATGTATTTGTTTTTCCTATTATAGCCCAAGTGTACAGCTGCAATAGCTAACCTTATTTTTGATAGAGTGTTGTTTAGAGACAGGAAACCCTGCAGTTCAAGCAGTGCTGACTGACTGGCTGTTCCAATTCCAAATTTTCTTATATTTTCTTGATCATCTGTGAGTGTTTTTTTTCGGGCAGGATTTAATTTAACCTGTGTTCTCTTCAATTTCCAATAAACTTCACAGGGAAATTGGGGATCAAGCTCAGAGAACTTTATAACAGTTGGATGGTTGATGACTAGTTTTCACAATATTCCTTCTATGGTGAGCATGAGCATTGTATGGATTATATGCTAGTTGCATAGACTGTATCAGACAGAAGTATATGAGGCCTCATACAGTATATACTTGAAATGCATTGACCTAAATGCATGCCTACTGAAGTTTATAGGAACTGACATATTTGTTTTACACACCTGGTAGGTAGAAAGGCTTTGGTGAATATTGTCTATTTCTTTACAAGAGGGAAAAATCAGTCTACAAGTCAATTTATGCCACATAACCTCCCAGGATTGTGTATAGCATTAATATGGCATCAAACCGTGACTTTGAAGACTTTACAACTGTATGATTCACCATCATTGAAACTTCATAATTTAAAAGTGTATGGAGAGGATAATGGACAATACCTGCTGTAAGCAGTGATTAGTTTCAATAAACTAAGCTGTTACTATTTGAGACAGTACAAGTTATTGTGTTTCTGTGAAATGGAATGAGTTAATGCACGCATTCTTCTGTTACAGGTCATTTTTATTGAGCATATGATGAAACGCCTAATTAAGACAGTAACACCTCCACTAGATACTATTAGTCCTGCTCAGGTACTGCTTCTTTTCCAACAATTCTACATCCTTAACACCTGCATCCAGTACAACACTGATTTAGCAGCACACATCAAGAATGAATACAATGAGGAGTTCAGGTAAGGAACGTACAGGATCTATACCTTTCTCTGAATTTAACATTCATCTTACTATCTTCGTGATTACTAGTTACAAATCAACTATTTTGAAGGCGATTCATAGGAACAATAGAATAGAATATTACCTCGTGGCAGATTTTTAAATTTAATTTATCTGCTATTTTCCTAATAATAATAATAATTCTTTAATTTGCTATAGCGCCTTATCATTTCTTCAACATGTCTCAAAGCTGTAAAGTGGATTGACTTTGTTTCCATTTGCTGTATTGTTAAACATAAGAATACAAAAATGCCACTTTACTGAGCATTATGCCAATCTCGGTTTCTCCCAGTTCCTCAGTGTGAAATGTTACCTTCCCAGAGAAACCCTATTGCATCTGATTCTTATTATCCCTTTAATATATTAGAACATAATTCTCAATCTAATATGGTGATTCTCACAAACTCTGTCCCCTGATGGTGGATGAGTTCTACCTGACTGTCTTGCTCAGCTCAGGCTCAGTGGGGACGATATTACAGGTACAGGATTGAGTGCATTCTCACAGAGAAGTCATATAGTTCCAGTCTAAATCTGAGGCTGTCGAAGACAGAATAAGTCAGTGATTTTACCATTGAAGTTTTAATTAAGAATCCACGGTCATTCACAGAGATGGTAAATTTTTACAGTGCGGCTTTGATACAAGAGTTTGACCAAAAAAGAATGACTGTTACAGTAGTATTGCGGGACTGAACTACTGTCCATCTATATAAACAAAACACAATAAGGTTGCCCTCTAGTGCAGATGAGTCATAGAGCAATACCAGGTTTCCTGGAAATGCAGCGAGATTTAATCTTTTTTCCCCAAATATGACTCAAATACCTATTTTTTATGGTAACGTAATTTAAGTACAGAGTACGAGAAAAAGACGTGCTTCATACTTGTACTGTTATACTGCATGAAGGGCGCAATATCAATGCAAATAATAAAAGTAGTATTTGTTGTAGTTAATTAAACCACTATGAGAATAACATCAGTGGTTTGATTGCAATTGAATTTTGAAACCTATGATACTGACTGAAAGCGGTACATTTGATTCCTACATCACCAGCCTCTCTGTAAACATTCTTGCTGACGTACTGATTCCAAGCTAGGCTGGAGGTTCAGTAATCATTGTTTGTTTATTAATCAATATTTATTATCTATAATATAGTACAGGATAATGGGTTAAAATGAATCCACAAAGTCAAGGGCTGTCTTTGTTATTCTATAGCCTTATTCGTATTACTAATAATTTTGGCATAATACAAATTGGAGTACAGTACTAGTAGCTGGGAATAATAAATATAATTTAAAAAATAATAAATAATAATAATAATTTGGTCACTCAATCCACGACTGTTTGTGAGACACTGCTGTACGCAATTGCCTGCCGTGTTTCGCCCACAAAATATACATTTTGTTTCCTTCCCTATTGCATAGTCACTGAGACCATTTACATTGTTCCCTCTATTGTGCTGGCGGACATGTTCTACCTATGCAAAGACTAGGGATTGTAGTTTTTATTAACTGCTACTGTAGAAACCTTACTCTTCACATGCTTGTTACAGGTATTATATCCAGAGTCCAGCTGTGGAAATGATGCTCCCAGCTCACCTTGCAATCACCAAGCCTACCATCCGACTCATCCAAGAAGTGCTTGGCTTTGTCTTCCATAAGTCGGTTTGAGTATGAATAAGTTCTGAGATAGATTAACTAGAACAAAGTATGAAGGTTTAATGATGCTAACGGTATAAAATAGATGCATTCAGACAAGTATTTAACTACAGTGTAAAATGTATACTCTGGTTTTATAATTGCATTCTGGTAAGGAATTGAAACTTATCTTTTCAACTTGTTGAGGGTTCTATCCGAAGCCTCCACGAGACGCCTTGATTTATATGTGACACTTGTTGATCGTTTTTTTCTCTCTTTTTTAATTGGAAAATAGATCCAAAGTCTAAATCAAAATACGTACAACAAATCTCAAAGTGCTTAGTATTTTTATGCTAAATTATTTATAATATATTATTTTACATCAGATTTCTTTAGCTCCTGCTAGATAATGAAAATCTCAGAACTGCCTCCATGTACTTAAATACACAGTTCATGTGGCCTTGTAATTTGAAGTAAAGGTAGATAGCTCCATAGATATAGCACACAAGCCTCCACCTAGGATTCACTCAGTGGTTTCCTTCTGTCAATTAATTGAGAGATTATAAGGTCACAAGAGAGGTTTGGATGAAGAGGGTCCTTTGGCATTTAATCTCATCCAGAAAACGAACTTAACAATGTTCCCATGATTGAATCAAACTGTTTTCTTACATGATGTGATTTGCTGCCATTCCTATCAGTAAGGCAAGTGGCAAATAATGCATTGATAAGATAAATGAATTATTTTAAAATAACTGAGTAGGAAAGGAAGATGCATTACTCCCAAAAGCTTGTTTTCATTTGATGTCTAGTTTGCTCTAAGAAAAATTACAATTTGACATTGAATTTTCCTTGCTGATATTAGGTGATGTAACCAGGCAACCATAACAAGTATAGATGCCTCCTGAATTTAACCTTGGTGGTTACTGAAAACAAAGACTTAGAAAACAGGGATAACCACTATGTCAAAGATTATCTGCAGCTTCATGTCTGCTCCATCGACCCTGGTTCTCCAAGTTATGGTTAACTTTTCATTTGAACTTCTGATTCTGGGCCAATTAAAAAAAATCTGATAACTTAAAGGTACTTTTCCAGTGTGTTGTGGGACAAGATTATCTTTTATGAATAGTGTGCACAGGTAAATAAGTTTTACAAATCTCGCTTTTTTGCAGCACATTTATATGCCCTTTACAAAAATAAGGTTTAAACATTAACACAGTATTTGTGAAATTCATGCCAGTCCTTATCTGTAGGCATTCCTTGTATTTTACAGGCAAAAATATGTTTATACAGATGCAAGAAAGAAAATAAGGAAAGCTGCTTACCTACATGGCAAGAGAGGAAAAACCATGAAAAGTATTATCCATGAAAAATCTAATCATGTCCTGAAACACTGCCTATATGTATACACATTACATTAGCCTTTTCCCTGAATGTACACCAGTGAGAGCAAGCTAACAAAATAATGGTAATTTTTTTATTAATTCCTTAATTTATCTTCTGTGTATCTGCACTTGTGTTCATACAGGAAAAGAATATCCAAAATTATGGGGGATGTGAAGTGAAGAAAACAGTGTGTGATACGCTGGAATAGTCTGATTGAAATCTGGGAGCTCAGTAATAATAATCGTTGCATTTGATATAAGTCTTATCACATCTTCGAGACATCTCAAAGCGCTTCACAGAATATACTGTAAAGTTGATTGACTGTATATTTTGTGGGTGAAATGCGGCAGCTAATTGCGCACAGCAGTGTCCACAACAGTCGTGGATTGAAGTGACTGATTTTTTTTAAGGAATTATTTACCCCTGGAGAAGTGATCCACCAATTGACTTAACAACTTGCCCAACATTTGGTTCTGCCAGGAATCAAACCCAGGTCTCTCGCTTGTGAGGCAGGTGCTCTAACCACCGAGCTACAGGACTCCACAAATACTACTTTTTCTGAGAAAGGTGTATTATTTGGATGAGATGTTAAACCCAGGCCCCATCTGCCTGTTCAGGTGGATGTTAAAGATCCCATGGCATTATTCGCAAAGGAGAAGGGAGTTTCTCCTGGTGTCTTGGCCAACAATCCTCCAAATAAACTTGGTTACTCACTCCATGGCTGTTTGTGGGGCCTTGCTGCATGCAACTGACTGCCATGTTTCGTGCACAAAATACAGTCAATCCACTTCACAGCATTATTGAAAAGAGCTATATCAAATGCAAAGATTATTATATCCTGTGAAGTGCTTTGAGGTGCTTTGTGGAGTCCTGTAGCTCAGTAGTTAGAGCACTCACTTTGTAAGCGAGAGACTTGAGTTCAATTCCAGGCAGGGCGAAACCTTGGGCAAGTTTCCTTACTCCACACGCCTAATAATAATCCCTCCAAAAAAACGAAACAATAATAAATTGGTCATTTTCAATCTACGACTGTTTGTGGGACATTGCTGTGCACAATTGGCTGCCGCGTTCGCCCACAAATATACAGTCAATTCACTTCACAGTGTGTTCTGTGAAGCGCTTTGGGACGTCCTCCCGACGTGAAAAGCGCTATATCAAATGCAAGGATTATTATTGAGATGTCTCAACGACGTGATAAGTACAGTATCAAATGCAAGAATTCTTATTAGAATTATATTTTGTAAAACTGCCTACTGATTAATATACAGTTAAACCTGTAGTTTATTATTATTAAACTATGTTGTATCACCCTAAACTGCCTTCATCAGGTTTGACTGATACTTCTTACTGTCAAATAACCTGCTGGCTATCTTGGTTTTCTATCTCCTTTTTCCATGGGAGGAAAAAGGAGATAGATAGCATAATGTGACAAGTGCACAAACATTTCAGAAGCCTCATTTTGTAAAACAATTGTGTTTTTTTTAAAAAAAAGAATTAGTTTAGTTTGCATTTCTCATTTGTAAAGCATTGTTCTTATTAATATTAATCCTTTCATCTGATATAATAATAATCCTTGCACTTGATATAGTGCATTTTCATATCATTGAGATGACTCAAAGCGCTTCACAGGATATACTATGAAGTGGATTGACTTTGTATTTTATGGATGAACCGGCACCTTTCACATTGGGAAGGTGTCTTAAAGCACTGTGGGATTTACTGTAGAGTGACTGTATTTTGAATGCCTACAGTGGTTCTGAAAACATGATTTTTGATCCATAAAACTATTTCATTAAAGCAAACGTGGTACTACAACCATCGATTTGTGTCCGTTTTCAGTGCATTTGTTGCTTTGACGGTGCATCCTTGAGTTTATTATGGAACTATGTTTTATTAGCCTAAACTACCTTTGAGACATTGATTGATCTGTTCGAATGCTGCTGACGCTGAAAGGTTTATCATATTTGTCACAAATGATTATACCATTGTACATTTTTACATGTTTATTTTTCAAGACATCTGCGAATGCTTTAACCGCATTTGTTCATATTGTCTTGATTATTGATACGATAGAAATTTGGAAGATCCGGGTTAATGATGCATAAAGTATCCCTTTGTCATCACAACCAGGGGAGGGAGGTTCACTAGGAAGCGGACCCGGGTATGATCCAAAATGACCCCCTTCTGCCTTAAAATGGAACATTGTGCAGAATTGTGAACCGGTTTTAAATCTGGTCACAATCTGGAACCTGATTTTCCGCAGTGTTGAAAATGACCTGGCTTTCCTATTCTGATTGAATTTAACCATTTTCTGCGATTCTGGACAATCTCTTGCATCTTAAGTTGAAATGGTTGCTGCACGGTAAGACTCGATGACATTTTTCGGGCCTCTGTTGTCATCGGGCATTGCTTTAGGTAAATAACCGGATTCTGGCTGACGTGTGGATCTGGATACAGAAAAGACACGGCCTTTGCCTTTTGAACTGTATCATGGACCGGACGCCGGTCATTCCAAGTGTAGCAGCAGCGCTGAACGCGCTGGGGTCAGTAATGCTGAATACAATCAGCCAGAGTTTCATAACAATGAAAATTATTGTCCCAATCTTTTTTAATTTGCACAAATATACACACGGCCAATACAGCGAAGTGCTGCGTGTCCTTCCTGCACAGTGACGAGCTCACACGCCACGTGTACAGCGACGCCGTGTGTAGTGACGCCTGACGCCGCGTGTACAGTGACACCCTGACGTCGTGAGTAGTGACACCATGACTATGTGTACAGTGACGCCATGAGCCGTGTGTAGTGACGCCATGACTCCATGTGTACAGTGACGCCATGAGCCGTGTGTAGTGACGCCCTGACTCTGTGTACAGTGACACCATGACTATGTGTACAGTGACGCCCTGACGCTGTGAGTAGTGACGCCATGACTCCATGTGTACAGTGACGCCATGATTCCATGTGTACAGCGACGCCCTGACTCTATGTGTACAGTGACGCCATGACGCCGTGTGTACAGTGACGCCATGACGCCGTGTGTACAGTGACGCCATGACGCCGTGTGTACACAGCTCCTGGAGCACGTGTCGGAGTCCCCGCCCGCGGTGGGCGGGTGTGCGGTGGGGGAGCGGGTGCGATGGCAGGGAGCCTGTCCGGGATGAGTGAGGGCGGCGGGGTCCCGGTGCCGGTCCCGGTGGAGCAGGCGCTGCTCGAGACCTTCTTCTCACAGCTCGGCATCTTGTCTCATGACCGGGCCAAGGACTATGTGGAGCGGGAGAAGGAGAGCAGTAAGAGCGCGGGGCCCAGCTGGGCGGCCCTGCTCTCAGCACTCGCTCATCTGGCGGCCGCCGAGAAGGTTTATCACTGCATGAGCTTCCTGGGCCAGAAACTGGGTGAGCGGCCTGTCAGCCCAGCCTCACACACCACACACACAACATACTACACACACACTACATACACTACATACATAAACTGGGTGAGCGGCCTGTCAGCCCAGCCTCACACACCACACACCACACACAACATACTACACACACACAACATACACTACATACATAAACTGGGTGAGCGGCCTGTCAGCCCAGCCTCACACACCACACACTACACACACCACACACACAACATACTACACACACACAACATACACTACATACATAAACTGGGTGAGCGGCCTGTCAGCCCAGCCTCACACACTACACACAACATACTACACACACACAACATACACTACATACATAAACTGGGTGAGCGGCCTGTCAGCCCAGCCTCACACACCACACACCACACACAACATACTACACACACACAACATACACTACATACATAAACTGGGTGAGCGGCCTGTCAGCCCAGCCTCACACACCACACACCACACGCACTACACACACACACAACATACTACATGCTACACACACACAACATACACTACATACATAAACTGGGTGAGCGCCCTGACAGCCCAGCCTCACACAACATACACCGCACACTACACACACACAACATACCACATGCTACACACACACAACATACATTACATGCTACACACACACACAACATACACTACATACATAAACTGGGTGAGCGGCCTGTCAGCCCAGCCTCTCACACTAGCACCAGGCTCCCACCCCTGACACACACATATGACATACATACACAGCCCCAGCCTCACACACCAGCTCCCGCTTCTTACATACATTATACATACACCACATACACACACATCACATGTCCATCACCTTGGTTCTCACCCCTTACACACACACATAGACACATACACACACATTACACACACACCGTCACCTGGCCTCCCACCCCTTATACACCACATACTATGTACACACACCATGTACGTACATATGTACATCAGCCCCGCTCCTGCTCCTTACACAACACATACCACACCCACATACTACATATACCATACATACACACACTGCATACACACACTACAGTAGGAGGTCCTGTAGCTCAGTGATTAGAGCACTCGGCTCCTGGCAGGGTGAAACCTTGGGCAAGTTTCCTTACTCCACTCGCCTGATAATAATCCCTCAAGAAAAGAATGAATCAATCCACGACTGTTTATGGGACACTGCTGTGTGCTCTTGGCTGCTGTGTTTCGCCCACAAATATACAGCCAATTAACTTTACAGTCTATTCTGTGAAGCGCTTTGAGATGTCTCGAAGACGTGAAAAGTGCTATATCAAATGCAAGGGTTATTATTTTTTATTATTACATACACATGCCCAATATCCAGCTGCCTGCTCCTTACACACCACACATTATGTACACAAATGTCCATCAGCCCACACTTCAACCCCTTATACACCACATACACACACATATTCATTACCCAGGCTCCAACCCCTTACACACCATATACTACACACACCACATGAACGCATACACAAACACACACATGCATGTACCATATACACACACACCACATCCATACACATAAGTTACACAAACACCACACATCCATACACACACCACATACACACACACATTACTGTCGCAGTGCTCTGTTCTGTCGGTGTGCTATGTATGTACTGCCTATGCTTTGAGAGAGGGGAGGAGGAATAGGAAGTAAACAGGAGAAGTGCAGATATTAGGTATCAGCCCAACTCAGTTGGTAGCACTCTCGCCTCTTGAGTCAGAAGGTTGTGGATTCAAACCTTGTGTCTGGAGTTTGAATTCACAGCCTAGGCTGACACTCCAGAGGAAGTACCTTCTTTTGGATGAACCATTAAAATGAAGTCACGTTTGCTTATTCGGGTGTTCAGGCTTATTAAATATCACATGGCACTATTAGAAAAAAAGAGGCCGGTTTCTTCCAGTGTCCTGGCCAACAATCTCCTAAATAAAATTGGTCATTCACTTCATGGTTGTTTGTGTAACATTGCTGTACGGAAATTGGCTGCGGGTTTGCTTACAAAATAGAGTTATACACTTTATAGTTTTTCCTGGAATGCTCTTTGAGACATCCTCCTTACATGAAAGAACCTACATCAAATGCAAGGATTATTATTAATTGTAGCTTGTGTGTGTTGTATTCAACACAAAGCATTCAATAAAATGTAGGGTGTCTATCGATCTGCCCTATACTTGTTATGTGTCAGCCTTTATGTCTGGATTATCAGGGTAAAATCTGTATTCACTTTGTTATTCTATGTGCATTGGTTTTGAAACCTCAAGCCTGAGGTAGACTTTGTGTTATTGTCGTTTAATCCCACTCTGTGGGCCTCAATAATGGCCATTCAGGCCATCTTTTAACAGCTTGTTGTTTTTCATTTGAAAATGATTCAATTGTGTCTAAAAACTCAGCAAATGGGGCACCTGTCTAACAAAAAATGTTGGTCTATTGACTAATAGTGAATTTCCATCATACAATATTGGTAGGAGTTTCACCTGAATAACTGGAAGCTGTATTTAAAACATATCCTTGCTTTTAATTTTAGTTTCTGCACCAAATCAGTGGCTGTCATGTGATTATATGATGTGGGAATATTTCTGTCCTCCTATTTAAGATAATGATGTATATCCAGTGGTGTGGGATGTGACTGAAAAATTTGCGATCTCTGGCTACCGAGTCCCCATATTCCAATGTAATTAAAATCACATTTTATTGCAACACTATAATGAGCTCTCCTGGGACTTACAATTATAATCACCTGATCAAAGCTGAGAGTATAAGAGCATTGTAGTTACAGATAGGCTCAGAAACATCAATATGGGAGCTTTTCTGGAGTCTTTTTTTAAGAGACTCCTACAAGCTTGACAGTGAATTATGATCTCAGTAATTGTTCTGCATGCTTCTCCGTGGGCACCAGTAGTTTCAGATGAAAATGAAACTGCAGAATGGCCACTGCTAAAAAGGGCGTTTTCCTTGTCATTCTGTAAATCAGCCAAAGACAAACACTGTGCGTCCGCCTGTTATTTTAATTGTCAGAATTCTGGAGCTAGGAACAGTGAAAGGCAAAGCACATGGGAATTTAGAGCCTCCAAGCCACAATATTGAAGCAGCCTCAATGTGCAGAGTTTGACAAATCAATAATATCAATAAACATCCGTTGTTGATCAGTAATCATACACTTCACTGCTTCACAATGACCTCCATGTGAAATCGAGGAAACATTTGGTGATCAGTAATTATACACTTCACTGCTTCACAATGACCTCCATGTGAAATCGAGGAAACATTTGATGACATTATTAAACTGCTTTGACAGCAAAGAGACCTTTGTTTTGTATTCGGCATTCAGTAGGTATCAACTTGTTTTGACACCCAGATGCCAAACCTTATCAATTGCCAAAAACTGAGCTGAATTAATTTAACTTCCCATTTGTGGTGGTAACTCTTCCAAACATTCCTGATGTTTAATGTTTGGAATATCAGAGGTTAATCTACCGCTCAGCCATTTTGTGCTCATCACAGCGCCCTATTCTTTTGAAAAACAACTACTGTAAAAACAAAATACCTGGACCACTTGCACATAGTAGCATAGCAGGTCGTCTCTGTCCCAGTCTTAGAACAAGGTGTGTGGCAAGGTGAAATGAATTGGGAGTAAAATTACTCAGCGGGAAGATTAGGAAGATGTCTGTCTTCTTCCTCCTTTGATGCAATTACATCTGTAATAGTAGCATGTATGCCAGGAGTACTGAGGCATATCAAACAATACCGTGCGTCTTTCCGCTCAATGGCATTAGATATCGAGGGCAGTGGTTTCCATCTAAACTCAGTGTAACTATGTATACACTGGCAGAGCATATGTGTGTGCAGTCACGCTCTTGAGTTTGAGAATGTGGCACAGGTACAACCTTTGTATTACTTTTATTAATTAATTAGCATTGCTTAATTTACAATGATTTGCATTTATATAGTGCTCTTCATTTGGGATAACGTCTTGGAGTGCTGTAATGTATTTTATTTGTGGCTTATAGTCCCACAGGGGGTTGATAGGTCTGTGCTAATTCGTTGGAGCACCATTAGCATTGTGATGCTAAGCAACTGGTTAATGTGACATTGCTTTGCTGTATAATGCCGACTGTTATAGGTCTAATGATAATCCTTGCATTTGATGTAGCGCCTTATTGTGTCTTTGAGACATCTCAGAGCGCTTCATAGAATATACTGTAACTGAGTCACTATAAGTCACAGATGCTTCCACCATTGGAGTTGGCACTTTCAGCCACTTCGCCCTGAAACTTTGGAACATTCTCCCTCAATCCCTCCGCCTTGCCCGATCTCTCCTCTTTTTCATGCCCCGCTTTAAGAACTTCCTTTTCGATCGTGCTTAGGGTCATCTCCCCTGCCCCCCACCCCCCCCCCCCCCGGCTCAGAGTCAGACTCCGCCATCATTAAACACTCTGAGATGCTTTGCTGTGTGGAGGGCACTATATAAGTGCAAGTCTTTGTTTCATCGTTGAGTAACTGGTCGCCTTGTTAACGGATATTACAGGTGGACAGTCGTTCTTCAGTCGGAAGGATTCCATCCGAACAATCTACACTTCTCTCCACAATGAGCTGCGCAAGTTGGCAGCCATTGGGCGGAACACCTCGGGGGGAGCAGCCCCACACCTGGAAGAACTCCTTTCCCATCTCTCTGAACAACTTTGCTTCTTCATCCAAGCTCGCATGGAAATTGCCGACTTTTATGAAAAGATATATTCCCTGAGCACTCAGAAATCCATCAATTCCGAGGAACTGGTGCGCTCCCTGGAAACTATTTTGCAGAAATACAGCTCAAGGTTAGTGGAGCTGTGGTTTGGGACAATACTTTTGTCAATAACAAATGAAACCATCATTGCTTAACCCTTGGACTGTAGAAGTATTTATGCTGCATATCTAATAATATGTTTTCTTTTTTTTCTTCGGTAACATTCGCATCCAGTTTCCTGTGATCAAAGTACATTTTGTTCGGCGTCTTATAATACAGGTTTGCAAGTTCAATAAGTGTATGTTGTTGTGAACAGCAAGTACAGAAGACTGTCCTCTTTTCCAAGTCACGTCTGTGACATGAGAGACACTGCTACCATCTTGTCTAATCTCAGGCAATTTAAAGCAACGCATAAAATGTGCATTTCTGCTATGTTCCACCAGAGGCTGCCCAATACCTCCTTGTTGCTCTTGAGAAAATCTCACGGCACCTAGTGGTGCCAAGCTGTACCTATTCTGCTCTTTGTCTTACACAGTATTGAATTAATATGACACATCACAGAGCTTGCCTCCTTTGGGAATGAGTTGTTTTAGCGTTATGCATGAACGCCTCTGCACTTCTAATAGTCCTTGCATTTGATATATTATTCAGATCAGCAGACAAATAAGCAACGGGTGATGTTTTATGTTAGTAGAAACTGTCAAAAGTTGTGAATTTCTCTATTGACCAATGTCATAATCGATTGAAAGTTTGGCAGGTTGAATTCAGTGCTTTGATAGGTTACCTACGCATGCTTTTTAATTTACCCCTTAGTTATTAATCTGGAACCAAGTAATGTACTTTCAGTGGTTTGATTCTCAAGTTATGATAATTTAACATATTCCACTTTTTAAAACAATAGTCCTTTGTACTATCTCCAGCTGTGCAACTCCTGGGTCTTCATTAGTGCTGTTCACGAGGATGGATGTGGGCTTTTCCCCCCCACCATCCCCTTCTCTCTCACTTTGGGGGAGAAGTAACTGGGATCCTTTCAGCACTAGGCACAGATCAAGATCAGACTGGAGCTTGCAGTGGGCAATCTCCAGAGTATCCATGAGTGGCACGTTAAACTACGCTACTGTGTATTGTTGATGCTGATTATAGTGCGCGGATGGAGTATATAAGCATCTACGCTGCTGTGCGCAATTGATTGCCGCATTTCGCCTACAAAATATACAGTCAATTCACTTTACAGTATATTCTGTAAAGCACCTTGAGTCGTCTCAATGACGTGATAAGGCTCTATATCAAATGCAATTAAATGCATCAAATTAAAATTATTTAAATCCAGAATACGAGCAAATTGGTGCAATTCCTATAACAATCTTTGTGCAAGATTCCGTGTGGCACTGTTTTACATTGTTGAGGAATAAAAGCAAGCTTTGAAGTCTACATTCAGTCGGGAGTTTTTAATTTTGACATTAAAATCCCCGTAGCATTGAAATGTGCAGGGCTGCTCAGTACTGAGCTAAAAGCTAGCTATTAAACTTGCATTTACCTGAAAGCAACAGTGGCAATAAATATTGCAGCATGATTTACTACTTTCACTGTTTTATCTGACTGGGTATTGAATCCCTCTGTTATTTTGGAAAGTGTTTTGTTTTATATAGATGGATTTATTCCAGCCCTGATGTGGAAAGATGTATATAGGCGACGTGTTAATAAATGTTTATAGTTTAAATGTATTGAAGTGTGGATTATGGTAGTCTTCAACCACTGGTGTGATGTATGTGGAGTCCAGAGTAGATATCTACTTGTAAAATTTCTGAGATTAACACTTTCAAAGCAGAATGTCCTTGGAACTCTCCATTGCCTTTATGTAATATAATGTTCCTGCTCTAAGTAAATCGCTGTAAATCCCCTGATGCCAATGCAAGTGACATAAAGACCTTTGTTTTCATAAAACTTCTTAGCACAACCTACAAAAACACTCGATTCTAGTTACTTTTGTATATCTAAAATGCATTTGAGATATTTACAATATACATTGCATCAGTCTTTCCTTTCGTACTCCCGGATCTCTGCTGTTGCCATTAGCTGGCACATTAGCAGCAAACGCAAAGCTTATCTGATCTCTTCAAGAGGCTATTCTTGAATAGTATATTTGTTCGCCCACAAATATACATTCAATTCACTTTACAGTGTGTTCTGTGAAGCGCTTTGGGACGTCCTCCCGACGTGAAAAGCGCTATATCAAATGCAAGGATTATTATTATTATTATTGATGGTGTTTCATTTCTTATTTTTGCAGGTTCCATCACCCTATCCTCAGTCCTTTGGAGAGTACTTTTCAGCTGGAGGTGGACGTTCTGAGCCAGCTGCTGAAGGCTCAAGCTGAAATCACTGAATGGAAGTTCCTGCCCTCGTTACTTAACCTACACAACGCTCACTCCAAACTGCACACGTGGGGACAGACCTTTGAGAAACAGCGGGAAACCAGGAAGCACCTCTTCGGTGGCCAGACTCAGAAAGCCGTCCAGCCCCCACACCTCTTCCTCTGGCTCATGAAGCTGAAAAACACCCTCCTGGCCAAATTTAGCTTCTACTTCCATGAGGCTCTGAGTCGGCAGACGACTCCATCTGAAATGAAGGCCTTGACAGCCAAAACCAATCCAGACTACTGCGGGAAAATATCAAGCTTCATTAGGAAGTACGATGCTGAGAATGTCTCTTTAATCTTTGATAACCGGGGGTCAGAGAGCTTCCAAGGACACGGCTACCACCATCCACATTCCTACAGGGAGGCTCCTAAAGGTGTGGATCAATACCCAGCTGTTGTTTCACTGCCCTCCGAACGCCCTCTAATACACTGGCCCAATGTCATAATGATCATGAGCGATCGGGCTGGAGAGCTGAACACTTTAGACAAAGTAGTCCACTTTTATGATGACAAAGTACAGAGCACTTATTTTCTGACAAGACCAGAGCCTCAATTCACCCTGGTTGTCATTTTTGAATCCAGGAAATCAGAGAAAGATTCCCATTTCATTGCGTTCCTGAATGAGCTCTCCAGCTCCTTGAAGAACTCCAAGCCATTTGCCACCCTGAAACCTGGTTCGAAGGGCTAATTAAATAGCTCAGTCCTCGATTGCACAGCTCTTTAGAAGAGGATTGAGGAAAGCAATAATGTACTGGAACAGAAGCACAGCAATTCTGAGAGGTTTGAACAGGTCATTTTGCCATCAGTCACTACTAGTAAAATATAACTCCTGTTCTTAGTGTTTTCTGAATCTTTTATGCCGCTTCAATCACTGCCAAGAATTCCAAAGTTATACTACAAATTTTCACTTTGCCTGCTGACATGAAAGTCCTGTTTTTCCAAAAGCTGTTGCAGGCATGTGAGAGGACGTAAAACAGCTGAACATGTGAAAAGAATGAGCTTTAGTTTTACATCCTTGTGTGGATTTTGTTTCAGATTTACAACAATTGTTTTTTGGATTTGGTACAGTGAATGAACTGTGTAGAATTACGATAAGACAAAAAAGAAGAGATTGTATGAATGTGTAGAAGAGTCTTGTGTGATGGTGCAGTATGTTCAGACATAGAAGCATCCACGCTGATCTCCTGACTTCAGTCCAGCTCTCAGGGAAGAGGGTCAGGGTGAAAAAAACATCTGATGCGATGGAAACTCCACGACTTTCACACATGTCTCGGGAGCTGGCTTCAGTGGGTGAGATATCTTGTAGCAAGGAATGTCCAAAGCTGAGAAATTGTATTCAGGCAGGAGGGTAAAACAATAGTGTACATAAGAGATATGAAGATAGTTCTGAGAATATACTGGATTCCAGAACTCAAAATAACGCTGCTGCTAACGCTGTTGCTTGGTTTACAGAGAATTACTGTCCTGTCAAAGAAAATTGATATCCTGTGATCAGACATTTAAAAGAAATCTTGATTTCCAACGCCTTATATTCTTTAAAGGAAAACTGGGAAATTTGAAAGCTTAATGTACTGTACCAGGAACTTTGATGGTTTCCAGATTTACTTTTGAGTTGACTGAAGATTGTAAGATTTGAGCTATAATAAACCAATACTGACTAACTGCATAATGCATTTCTCTTGATTTCACCCTCTTTGGAAAATTGAAACTAAACTGCCTCTTCAGCACACAAAGGGTTACTGTCACACAAAGCCGAGAGAGAACATACCCGGGAGGGACAAAAGGGTTGGGTCTGTGTCCACACTCTGTATACAGTGCAGAGAAGCAGGATAAAGGAATGGTTGTGAACTTATTTAAATTGCACTGTATTTGAACAAAGTTCAGTCCTTTTGACTCACAGTTTCGAGGCCCTGATGTTTGAGGTCACAGAAAGCTCAAAGATGACCTCATCTGTCCAATAAGTGCCTGTAGATCTGTACAAACGAACCTCTGTGAACCTATAGTGTAGGTGGGGCTAACCTCGAATGAGTACTTCTTATTGCTATCCATTTAATAGTGAACCTGGGTCCCATTGTGGATTCTGTCAAATAATATTTGCCGTTGATACGTCATATTGAGGTGAATCATCTCCAATGAACAAACTACTTTTTAATTTTTCTATTCAGAGTTAGTAGTACTGCATGATTTCCATTTTGCACACAACAGTGTACATAATACACACACAAAGATGTGGCATGAGTCAACTACAATGCAAAATTCTCCCTACATTGGTAGCGCCTTGCACTTTGACCTGCAAGAAAAGCATACAGAAAACCACCTTCCACTTAACGTCCTCCCGACGTGAAAGGCGTTATATAAATGTAATTTTGTTGTTGTTGTTAACACATTACACTCAGCTCCTTTCCAGGTAGACAGTCAAATAAACGTTGATCAGTACTGAATTCGTGAAAAACAATTGTATGCTGAGAACTTCTTTTCACAGGCAATTGGAACTGAGACTACTTAATCTGCTTCTGTTGGAGACGATTGGAAAAAGATCCTTATACCAGAGGTGAGAGGATTGTATTGAGACAAACCAATGTACGATGTCTTTAAAAAGACAAGACCTATTTCAATCCATCTCCTCTGATTTTACTGGAATCAACTCGATCCATCCATCCGATCCATCCTCCATCCAAACCATTACTTCTACAAAACACTAGAGCATTCATGCTTCACTCTCCCTAATGAATTAATGAACGAGGAATTTGACATTTTGCTCCAGAATGCATATGACATAAAAACAAGCTAAATTCATCTAAAATTGCTGTATCACACTCCTGCTTTGTTCAGGTCCTGTCCCTTTGTTCCCATTAATATCCATTTCTCAGTTGTCCCTTCACAAAAAACAGTCAAACAGTATAGAGAAGCACTTTGAGACATCTTGATGTCGTGATAAGGCCTCATTATCAAATGCAAGGAGTATTATTCAGAAAAAACTCTTATAAAATATAGCTGGCTGCTTGAAGTTACCATTTTCCTAGGACATTGTATATATCATTATATACCAACACCTAATAGTATTCACAGCCCCTCTGAAATTCATTCATTCAGGGATTTAAAGTTGTGGCTGAATTTCTACAGCTTTGATCTCATAGACTAGTTCAAATGCAATACTTTTATTCTGCAGTTTGATGAAATTAAAACAAGTGCAAAGTGTTGATAAATGCCTTAAGCTTATTTACGGTGATGATAAAGGCATTTTACATGGGTACAGATTTGTATTGGATTTAGAACAGAATTTTGAAGTACAGAATGAAATATTATCCTTCCAATGATGGATTTCAATAATATTTTTAAACTATAACAGTATGGTACAACATTTTTCAGCCGCATTTTCTACAGGTTGGTTAAGAGAGCCACTCTGCCCCCAACCTCTGGAATTCCATCCCCCAATCACTCCGCCTCACCCCCTCCTTAGCCTCCTTCAAGTCCCGTCTCAAAACCCTCCTCTTCGGCCATCCCATCGGTCACCCCCTTCCCCTCCCCTCCCTTCTCCTCCCCTGACCCCAGCTTGGATCTGAAATGCTGTACACTGTCCAGGATCTTGAGACGTCCTCCCGACGTGAAAGGCGCTATACAAATGTAATCTTGTTGTTAATAACAATACTTGGTATAGTGCCTTATAAGCAAACTTAGAGTAAAAAAAGGCAAAAGAATAGAAAAATATTGTAAGTGCACACCACTGAGGTAGAATTTTTTTTATTTCACACAAAGATAATAAATTCTCACCCTTAGCTCAGATAATATTCTTTTAAAACACAGGTATATTACACTGATTGGGTTTCTTTATACTGGCGGTCTATTGGAACATCATAAAGAAAACTATTTTCTCAAGATCCCATTCATCAAATCTTGTGGTTGTGGCATTTGGTGCTCCCCTCAAAGTAAAAGCATCAATTACGGAGAAAACAAAATCGATATTGATTGATTTTATGAATGTGACCCAGTGCAAACCTCACTTCACTATATTTCACCCATTATTTAAAGTGCTAAAACAGAAGCCTGCGGCAAAAATTACTTCTAATATGAGTATATGTGCTCATACAGTAATAAGATTTCCCCTATTCTAAGTGCACATAGTTAAAGTTACTACATTTCGAGGGATACCCAGGAGGATATATTACCTCTTGTCAAGGAAGTTAAAGACTTCATTAGATTTTAACTGAACCTTTTGGAGGCTAATTTCTTTTCACCACACATTGCAAGAAAGGCATCAAATAGCTTTCCTTTAATAAAATAATTATACACGGCAGATTTCTACCTTACTCTGGAGAAATGTTTTTGGCAGCTTTGTTTTCCCTTGTAATTTAATATAATTTCTTTTTAAAGGTTTAGTGGTCGATTCTAGGAAGTCCTGCAAAAATGTTTTTGGAAACCTGTCAGGTGAGATGTTTTCGAGGTTAGGGATGTGTTTTACAGAGCTGATTATGTGGCATTGATTTAGTTACTGTGTGTCCTGGTGTGACACTGAGTTTGTGCATAAGAATGTATGCAATTGTATCTAATGTCAGATTTAAATTTATTTATTTCACACAAAGATAAGTAGAATAGCAAATTAAACACTGTGACATAATAATAATAATAATTTGATATAGTGCTTTTCACATCTTATAATAATAATCTTTGCATTTGATATAGCGCTTTTCACATCTTCTCGACGATTCAAAGCACTTCACAGGATATACCGTAAAGTGAATTGACTGTATATATGTGGGCGAAACATATTAGCCAATTGCGCACAGTCATGGATTGAAGTGATTGTTTTTATTATTTTTTTCTTGAGGAATTATTATCAGGCGTGTGGAGCAAGGAAACTTGCCCAAGGTTTACCCTGCTGGGAATCGAACCCAGGTTCGAGTGATCTCACCACTGAGCCACAGGACTTCTGATGTAGGGAATGTGGGTCTAAATGACATAGTGGGGACGAGGGGCACTTTTCACAGGAAGGGCATTACTCTTGCACTCTGTTTTGGTACTGATTCAGAGCAGCGTTGCACAGGGCATCTCACCACAGATTTCACTTGGAAAAAATTGGGGAGTGGGGGAAAACTACCCTTTGAAGAGCCCTTAACGATGATCAACCTTGTGATCTTTTTCGCTGTTTGCTTTCCATCGGGGCAGGCTCGAATGGCTGAATGGCCTACTCCTGCTCCTAATTCTTATGTTCTTAACTCGGTTTCATATTACATTAGGTGCATTGGAATCCCACAAGTCAACATTTTCTACCTGTCTTTATTTCCGTCCAAAGCTGTAGTTATCCTTTAAAGAAATATAATAATAATAATAATCCTTGCATTTGATATAGCGCTTTTCACGTCGGGAGGACGTCCCAAAGCGCTTCACAGAACACACTGTAAAGTGAATTGACTGTATATTTGTGGGCGAACTCGGCAGCCAATTGCGCACAGCAATGTCCCACAAACAGTCGTAGATTGAAAATGACCAATTTATTATTGTTTTGTTTGGGAGGGATTATTATTAGGCGTGTGGAGTAAGGAAACTTGCCCAAGGTTTCGCCCCGTCTGGAATTGAACTCAGGTCTCTCGCTTGCAAAGCGAGTGCTCTAACCACTGAGCTACAGGACTCCTGTCTCATGCAGAAGATGTTCATAAAGTTAAGAATTTGACATGTGCAGACAAACAAAATCAACTTCTCAAACAAAAACAGAAGAGGCTTAAAAGCCTCTCCCTCCCAACATGACCCAGTTCTGACGAAAAGTCATGGACCCGAAACGTTGACTCACTTTCCTTTCTCCATAGGTGCTGCGTGACCTGCTGAGTGTTCCCAGCGACTTCTGTTTTTGTTTCAGATTTCCAGCATCTGCAGTATTTTGCGTTTTGGTAAAATCAGCTTCTCACTTTAGATCGAATAAATGTTCTTTTAGCACGAATGGAATGTCTATTCTCTTCACAAAATTTGCCAACGTGGTGCTTGGCAGCAGCTGTGAGACTCTGGTGGGCTGAGCAGTTCTGACATCTGATTACTCTGTAAATGAAGGCTGTTGCTTTATGATACAGAACAAGAAAGAACATTCCGTGAAATGCAACGCCTCCACGCTTGCACACAGTTTATGTAACTAGCTGTTAGAATAGAAATGGTCTAATACAATACGCCATGTATTATTTAGTGGGGTCATACGAGACACTAGGGTGAAGATATGAAGAAGTAAATGACCCAATTAATGGGACATGATTAGGGCTTGGGAAATAAATTGCACTGTGCCAAATGCAGCATCTGTACCATTTCTACACTAACTGGGCCAGAGCTACTCTAATTTGTTTTTCACGTTTAGTAATGTTTTAACATTTTTAATAATTATTGAAAAAAAAGGCATTCTTTAATTTTAATTCAATGTCATCCATAGTGTCTATATGCAAACACCAGTTTGCCAAACAATGGTGACAGTGCTTCGTTAAGTAGTCCTGTAACAGTGAATTAAACCTGGTTCAGTGTCCTCCTGGAAGGTTCAGCATGTAATGAAGTCATTCAGCCCATTGTGCCTATGCTGTTGAAGTTTCCCCACTGGACTCTAGTCCAAACTACATAGTTATTGTACAAGGCTGTGAGTTGATGGAGGAGAACTGGCTACAGAAGGACAGATGAGCTCATGCACTGAAGTCATTA